GCTACTTTGAACTATATTTTTATGGGTGTTCTTAGTATACAATATATATTACAGTAAATAACTCTGCTTTCCTAATGGCTATGCAAAAGCCTTGTGCAGGTGAATTTGTGGGTTGCAAATTCACACTCTGGCTACTGCACACTAAGTTACTCACTGCAGACAGACCCCAACTTAAAGCAGCAGCACTCCTTTGCATAGATTGAATTAATTTGCTTGAGCTTGTAGTTCTGCTATGATCAGGCATCAGCTGCAGTGGGTAGCCCTAAGTGCTTTCAAAATAGAAACAGAAAAATAACAATAACTAGTTGAAACTGAATCCATTTCCATTGATGGTCTTGTCAATGTTAGGTTTATGGTTGTAGCTGATGATCTTAAAGGTCTTTTGTGACCTAAATGGTTCTGTGGTTTTGAATTGGTTGTGTCATTGTAGGTGTCCTGTCAAGATGAGCTTTGGCAGCTCATAAATGGAGACACACAAAGGCCAAGTTCCAAGTCTTTCATAAGGCACATTCAGGACGCCTGTCACACCTGAGATACAATGTTCCATCAATGTTCAAGCAGTATTTTGTGTTTTGGCTGGAGCAATCTGCTATTTATGTTTCCTGAGCCCTTCTTGTGCATCAGGGAACTTTTGGCTCACATTGACTTGAAGAAGTAACTGTGAAGCTCAGACAGGAAGCATTTTTCTTCAGCCTATTCTCAGTCTGGCCCAAGCTCCTGGATTTGGAGGACTTGCAGAGCTAGAGAGCAAGAAAGCTTCTCTGGAGGCAACCAGTCCCTCCTTCCTCAAACTTATGAAGAGCCATTGCTTGGAGGCAGTGTTCAGGGAGAGGATTTTAGTGGGATAAGCAAGCACCCAAAGCAGTTCTCTGTATTGAACATAGAAGGAAAATAAAGGTTAACTTGTTGGAATTAATCACAGTTATAAAGGCTGAGATAATTAACTCTGTGTTTAATTAGGAGATCATATCTGTAAAAAGGGAGGTTTCATGTGTTAATAGTTTCCTGCAGTGCATAAATGCTGGGACCAAATTAAATAGCATGGTAAAAGTAAATCCTGAAGTGAAGGGGTAAAAACACGCAGTATGTAATGCACATGGGCTTGTGGTAGCAGGAATTTATTTTGCCATGGAAAATGACTGAAAAGGCTTAGGATGGTGCTGTGCAGGGCTGGAGTGGGACTTAATGATCTTTAATCGTCCCTTCCAACACAGCTTATTCTGTGATTCTGATGAGTCCAACTTGATCAGTAGCATGAATGGAAGTGTAACACAGTGGGTAATTCCTTTTCCATGTAGCCAAAAGGACTTCCCAAGTTCAAAATATGTTCCATGCAGATTGAAAAATTGCTACCAATAACTGACCAGAAGAAAAATAAGAGAGTCAGAGAATGCAGTATGTATTTACATGTATGAACTAATGATTTTTCTTGTCTCCACTACCTGTATTTGTGTTGCAAACCTTGTGCTGTGCAACCTCTGCTTGAATGCACCACCCCAACACAATTCCACTGGTATACTGCAGAACTCCACATCAGAACTGCTCCAGCTGTGAATGAGTTGTGCAGGTGTGGTGTCAAAAACAAGCCAGGTTTTAGGGCCTGTCTGTCCTGTTAGAAATGTTTGATGGGTCTAACATCGCCTAGTGAATCTATGAGATGGATCCATGCTCCGTGACAGAGGCTATGGAGAGTGCTTTCCAGAGGGAAAACATTGGGGGCAGTGCAAAGCAGTAAAATTCCAGAGTTAGTATTGAGTATTGTCTCAGATAGATCTCAGGGGCTTGATCTTGGTTTGTCTTACTTGGTTTGTCTTGGGTTTGTCTTACTTCATTCCTACTTTTTTTTGCTGCTAGGAGAAAGATACTGCCCTGGACTGGGCTGTTATTTTACAGACCCCAGGTCAGCATATTGAGGTTCTGGAGTTCCTTGAGAAGTGCTAGAAGCTGTATTCTTCAGGACATTTGAGACAATGCTGAAGGCAATAATGTTCAATTTTAAAAAATCACTTCTTTTTTTTTTTTTTAAGGGGATTAACCATGTCACCAAGTAAGTTGCTTCTAGATATACCTTTTGTGTTTCTTTGAGCCAGAGAACAGGACCCTAAGTGAAAACAATATTATAGAGCTTTTAAAAAAAGGTAGTATTTTTTTTAGTTCCAGCAGTACTAAAGAAGATTGAATGCGAAATTGTAATTGTTGCCATCATTGTTTTTTAACTGAAGTCATACTGTAGCTAGCAAGACACTTATGTAACACTGTCTAAAATGTCTTTGTACTCCGAAAAGGTCATAAGTACATGACTTTGAAGCTTAATCAGTGGAAGTACGTAACAATTTCTGAATTTCATTACAAATCTAGTTTAAATGCAGTGAAGTCAGCAGAGTTACTTGGGATTTACAGCAGAGTAAGTGTGTGCAGAATATGGCTCCATGATTTTAAATGTTTTATTTCCACTGTGCAGATATTATACACTTGTCAACAACTTGCACTGAACAATTTTAAATAAGAGACAGAGCATGCAAACCCATAAAATACTAGCTATAGGACAAAAAAGTGGAAACCTTCACATTGTTTCATATACAAAAATCTTTTCTAGTGTTCCTACAGCAGTGTATAAAGCTACTGAACATTTCATGTAGGGATTACAGTACATAGTTTTGTATGTAGGGCATTTTTGAATAGGATGTAAGAGTAGATACCTGTTCTCTTTAAAGTTGTGGTTATCTTCTTGATCCATTTTATATATATATATATATATATATATTTTATGATCTGTAGAGAAAGACATAAATCCTTTGGAGGAGGAGCAGCTCTCCACAGGACCCTGGTTTATGTTCCTTTTGAGCTAGTTTGGATCCCTGGGTTTGCTGGCTTGGAATTTTTGGTAATCAGATGACAAAGCACTTTCACCACCTCACCACCTCAAATAACACAGAAGAAATGGCAGGGCCCTTCCCTTTGCTTCAGGATACAAATGTGCCATCGATCATGCTGGGCAACCAAAGGCAGCAGGAGGAGATGACTTTCAGCATAAGGGGGTCTGTTCTTTTTCTGGAGCAGCTGAAAATGAAATTTGATTTGAGGTGTAAAACAAATCCTGCACTTCTGTATAACTGCTTATGAAGAACACAGTAAAAGGTGCAAATTGAACAAAGAACAAAAATCATAGAAGCATAGAAATCACATTTGGCTTCACAAGTGTTATATGTAGGTCTGCACCAAAACTTTCACAGGAGTCTCGGAATTTAGATCCTGGTTTTTTAAGCCTGTTTTTTTTCAGTACTAAGAGGAATGAAGTAAAATATAGAAGAGGGGAAAGCAACCAGAAAGTGCAATAAACACTATTAGTGCAATAGACATGTAGTCCATGTAAAACAACATCTCATTCTTGGGATTCCTGCATGGCTTTCTCTAGATTGGACCTATGGAGTCTTACCACTGCTGAGCAAACTGCAGCTCCTGCCTGTCTGCACTTCCTGTACTGTACACTGTTTTATTACAAAAAATGCTCCAAACCTGGCCCTGGAAGTAAAAAATAAAATGACAGGAAGGTTTTGTTCAGTGCACTTGTTTTAAGAGATGCTTTAGGCTGTGCAGAATTCAAAGAGTGGTTTTTCCTGTTTATTTTCTAATGATGAATGTTACAGTGTGCAAATATGGGAGGTGCAAATATATGAGGTAATTTTTCCTGCAGAAGCATCATGGAACAGGCAGATAAAACAGTACAGGAGTATTTAGGAGTGTTATTTAAAGGTAAAGAGTTGAACAACACAAGTGACTGTTAAATTCATTGCCAAACACAACAGCTTTTGTGAGTGCTCCAGAACAATAATCATAGAAGTATTTTTGTGAAATCTCTTTTGTTTGTATGTTTTTCTAACTCACTACAAATTAAAAATAAAAAAAAAAATTAAAAATTTAAAAAAAAAAATCTCTTCCTCCTGGGAGAATTTAGTGTGACAATCACTTTTTGAGACAGACCAGTCTGGAAGACAAGGTGCAGCTGTGCACCCTAAGGAGCAAAGAACAGTTCCCAGGCGTTTCCTGGCCCAGGAGCAGTACGACTCCCATTAAACAGCCCACTGCTCCAACTGCAAAGCTTGTCCCTCTTTTGGTTGGACACCTTTCTACACCACAGTGGCTCTGCCAGGCAGCAGGAGCAGTGCTGGGGTGCCTTTCCAGTAGGAGAATGCTTGATGCACTGGCATCGAGGTTTTCCACAGCAAGATGTCCACTTTCAAGTTCAGCAAAGAAGCAAGTGAGGAGGCAGCCTGGCTCAGAAACTGCCTTTACTCGTGATGTGGCTCTCTGCCTGCTGGCTCAGCCTGCTGCCAGGCCACCCATGCTCCAGTGGGCATCCAGGCAGCCCAGGGGGCAACTCTTCCCCTGGAAGATAGGTCAGGAAGGCAGCTGTGGGGAAGCTTTGGGACCAGGGACTTTGTCAGGAGCCAGACTCCCCAGGACCCTGTGCAGCTCAGGGAAAATGTTATCTGTTATGATACCCAGGGATCCCCCTATCTCACCTGAGAACAAGGCCACATCCAAACTGATCCTGATTTATTTTCTTCAGCAAAAAACCCCCCCAATATAATTAAGTGTTATCCCACTGATGCTAGGCATCAATAAGGGCACTAATAATGCAAATCTAGGAATGGGTGTTGAACATTTATCCCTCTCTTTTCTAAGATTAGTCTAGTCCTCCTACGCATGCAACACTTTCTATCAGTTACTTGATAAGCCATCATTATGAATTACCCAGTGATTTGTTGATTTGGTGTGTATGCAGCGATTCCTCTGGTAAAGCAAGCCAAGAGAATTCATTTCTGACAGGAAGTTTCTGAATAACTAGAGATGGAGTGCCACTAGACATGTATTCAGCTTATTTCCTTGTGAAATAGGCAGTAAAAAAAAGTCTTTTTTTACTAGGCTTAATACTGTATTTTCAATGCTGACATGGAAATCAGATTGAATTTCATTAAAGGTCTGAGAGTTTTGTTGATAGTGATTCTTTGTTTTAATTACAAGAACATCAATCTACATAAGTATATGAAATTGCTGAAAACAAAACAAAGCATAAGAGCATCAGACACTTGGGTCTTGTCTGCGTGTTCTGGTGGCAGGGCTGGGTACAGTGTGAGGAACATGACCAGAGCAGCTGGTTTCTGTCAAATAGCATCATGATGGCATAAAGGAAGGTGCACTGGGCCCTGCTGGCTCTATCATTCGTGCTCTGCAGCTCAGTTGATGTAATTTTCTCTGATGGTTCTCTCTCCTCTCTGCAGTGTCCTGGAGAGCTGCACGGCATTGCCAATTCATGCTGCATTTGATGGATAGCAAAGTGAACAGGAGTGCACCATCCAAAAAGGCAGCAGTGCTGCCTTCCCATTAATATTCCCACGTATCCTTCTGGGGACCTCTAGGGGTAAAAATCACCAAGTCTGGAACTTGTTACCTACTAGGCCTGGAAAATGTTACTTTACAGATGTGGCAATGTTGATGTAAGGCCTTGTGATACTACAGGCTTTGCAAAATAATGCCATCTGTCCACTGGAAATGAGGCTAAGATTAAACACACGTCTCTCTTTATAGACCAGTGACTATGTGTCAAGGGCAGCATCTTTTGTTCACTGACCTGTAACGTGATTTGTAAATGCATTTGTCTCATTTTATGTTCATGGGTGTCCTTTGAGGGTTCTTCTAGTATACCAGGACCTATGTAAATACACTTAGTGAAGCAAGCACCTTGATTAGATTTTGGCTTGTGTAAATATTTTATCCTAAATTACTTCTTCCAAATAACCACATTTCCTTGCCTGTCCAATATAAAAACTTGCCTCACACGCTGTTGCTTTGGTGCCAAATTACTTCAGCTTTAACTCTCCCACAGAAACATTTGTGTGCAGAATTGGTTTTGTGCATGTTTTAAAACTGATCATGCAGTAAACTCACTGTTCAGCGAGTTCTAGAATTTATTTAGCAAAAAAAAAGTGTGAAAAAATGTAAATATTAAACAATTATATGTCATTTAAGAGCCAAAGCTATACCTCATCATGATTCACCAGAAAAATTTTGTCTAACAAAAAGCCAATATGTAATGGTATACTGTAATAATGACATAAAGGAAAGACAGGAACAGAAATTTCTTAACATAAATGAAAATAACTTCTGAAAGTCAAATCCTCGATTGTTTCTGCTTAAGTTTCGTCTTCTTTAAGAACAGCAAAAAATTTTCACTAAATTCCTCCCTCTCCTTCCCTGAGTTGTCGAAACTCTGAAGGAAGCAGGTTTTAAATAAGCTGTTAGATCATTTTTCTGTAGCCAAATAATTATCTTTTGTTTAGAATCTGTAATCAAATGAAACTGGGTTCTTTTTTAATCTGTGTTGTCAGCATGAAATTAAATATGGCTGCTGTAAGTAACATTTATAATGGATGGTACTGCAAAAAGAGCAATTTTGAGTGTCACCTTGACTGGCTAGATATATTCCCTATTTTTCAGTATGAATCAAATGAGAATGCAGGGCATAAATGCTCAACAGATCTTTTAGACAGCAACTTTCAGTCTAATTGCATGAAGAATTACATGCAAAAGATCATTACACAACACATCAGTCAGAAGAGCGTCATCCTCATGGCATTGCTAAGGGCAGATCACAGCAACCATCTTGTGCCTTGTCTAAGCTCTTTATTTTTATTTGGCTCTGGCTTGAAAGATGTAAAAATTCTAGATTATAAACCCAGTGTATTTTGCTTTTGTGAGTAACCCAGGTTAGTTTTAAATTGCATAGGTTCTGTGGCTTGTTCTGTGCATCCTCAGATTATCACCTACAAGGATATAAAGGAATAAAGCTGTGGGCCCCTGTGCACGTGTCAGATCCAGAGCAGGTCTGTGGCAGGCAGAGCCTGGAGCTGGCCCCTCTCCCCTTGTGGTGCCAGTCTGTGCACACAGCGGCCAGGCACACACACAGCCTTTGGGATGTGACCCAGGCTGTGAATTCCTTTTTAAAAGGTTGCATGGTGGCAATTGTCTTCAGCTGGGAAAGGGTTTGCTGTCTCAGCAGAGGACACTGAGCCAGATAGACAGAAAAGCATAGTCAGGTGAAGTTGGTAAGTGATATAAACCTGGTGAAAGGGTGAGTGAATGCAAAGTCTTAGAGCCATACCTGTACAAAGAGCTTGTGTTGTCTCCTGGGAATGCAGTCAGACACAAACCATGGACACCATTCTCAAGGGAGGTTAGAAAAAAAAAAGGGGGAACTTCTGGTTCAGATGACAGTACACTTTCCAGCCTATTGACTGTCTTCTTGCTGCAGGCTATAAAGCTGCATCTAAATACAAATTAGTCAGAGCAATTAGATTTTTCCATACAATCTGAAATCAAGCATCCCAATTTACTTTCTTATGTGGAAAACTGCACGTTTCCCAAATAAACCCCAGCTGGGTTTCTGGAACTCTGCTTGTCAGGAAGGTTTTCATTGGTGTGCACTGAAAATCTGGATCCTGTCATGCTCAGTGCCCATACTCTGTTTTATAGCAGGGTTTTTCTTTCTTCAGGCAGAGCTGGGAACACTGACATTCACCCAGCATGTTTCCTCTGTGCTCAATTCCTCTACGTTGAATGACTAACAAGAGACCAAGGAACACTCTGAAGATATCTTTTCATTGCTAATGCTCAGCTTTTCCATTCATTGCCAAGACACAGCATCCATTTCCAGCAGTAAATGTCATGCACACAATAGCTCTGCTGTCGGTGTGAAAACCTAACTTAACTAAAGGAGGAGGCATAAAAGATCAGAGCATATCCTCTGTGTGCAAATCTGTACAGTCCAAAGTACATTTCAAACTCCCAATTTGAAATAGATGGATTAGACACGGTTGTGTCCTAAGGTTTCATTATCTGCCTTCATCAAATGTAACCTTTCTATTTTTTTAATTTGAATCATCTTTACATGTTGAAGCATTAAAATGGATTATGGTCCTTATTTGGCCAAAAGAAGGGAGCATTTGTAGGAAGCTTTGCAGACTACAGACCTGACTGCATGGTCTTCACCTGGATGAACAGTGTTTGTGGCAATGTTAGGATTCTTGTTCTTAGCTTGGAGAAGACATCCCAGAGACTGTGTTTAAGCAAGGAGGAGATACCAGGGATGGCAACAGAAGATAACATAGGACAGAGGAAAGCAGAGCCAGCAAAGTCTCAGTGAAAAGCAAATGTTGGGGAACACGTCTGAGGTCAGTTACTGAACCAGAAGCAAGACCCAAATCAAAATCTGAATCTGCCTTGTAGATTGATCTTCAATGCATAGCCTGTAAATTGATTCCAAAGTGGTATAATTCCTCAGTGCAGAAGTGTTCCATGTGCATGAGACTATTTTCCCAGCTTTATATAGTCAGAGACAGATAAAATCTGATTTGAAAATAATATAGCGTGCAGTGAATAAATTATATGCTCCGGCATTTGGTGGTGTTTGTGAGATATAATTCTATTTCTAGTGCAGTGTAGGCTTAAATAGCCAAATGGTGTTTATAGGAGATGGGCTGCTGCATTCCTTTTCAGTTTGCTAATATGCACTCGTCTGCTGAAGCAAACCAGCTCTGCACCGAATAAACACATGGGACTCTCTTCATCTGTGGGATGATGTGAATAAACCATCATGTCTTCACTGGAGATCTATGCATCATATCTTAAATTGTGAAAAAAATCAAACAACTTAAACTGACTATGCTATTTGGATGCACTTTCAGTCTGTATGCTTTAACTTACTGAGTTGAACCTTGAACTAAAAATAATCTGTAGCTGGAAAATCTTTATGATGGACACTAGAATTCCAGCAAGATGGTTGAGAAGTGCAGTTTGTTTTTGTAAAGGCTTTAGGATCTTTGTTTTAAGTGTGTTTAAACCACAAATGCTATTAAGTGTTTGTTTTACTGCTGTTCAGCACTTTCAGGGTTGCATTAGGAAATGGGGACATGTCATTTTGACTTGATTACCATGGAAGACTTTATTTTGTACAGTCCTCCAGGCAGAGCACTGAAACATGAGTTCTGTGCTGAAGAAGTGGGGCTACCTTGCTGTGTAGTGCCACCACCAAGCAGTAAAGAGGTAGGGAAAATATAATCTTTTATGATTGAGCTGACGACACTCAGTCACTGGGAAAAAAATAAAGCTAAGCCAATGGAGCAAATGTTTATGATTCTTCTCTTCAACATAATTTTCACTGCTACAAAGTGATTCTAAACATAAAGCACTTTGGGAGATTGTGATAAAGATTTGCTCTTGGTTTTAGAGTGGTTCTCTTTCTCTACAGTGATCTGCACAATCCCCAAAACCAATGTTTGAACTTGTGTAGCTGCAGTAGTTATTGCAGTTTTAGAAGGCATCAGGCTTTATTCAGAATCCTGCTTTCAGTCTCCAAAAATTCAAATTCTGTCTGGATAAGGAAGGTGCTGAGCCAAAGCCCTTGATCCTTTCTTCTCAGATCTTGCTAGGGTAGTAGCTCAGTGTAAAGCTTCACCCAGTTCTGCTCAAGCAGCTCCCCCCTGCCCTTTTACTGAGAATCATTTTAGCTGAGATTGTTGGTGTGATCAGCTAATTAAGCCAGACAGAAGCAGGCAGAAAGCCAAGGCATGATTTTTCACTTGCAGCATCTAGGTCTTGAGAAGGAAATTGTTAACATGTGGTTGCTATCTTGCCACTTGGAAATGAATAGTTGTGCTTGAACACTGTTTCACTATGGAGGGGGACTCTGTAAATGGAATTGCAAGCCTTCCTAACAGGAGCAAGGACAGATCACAAACAAGGTAACCAAAGTAACTGCTTGATTCTTCATACGAATGCCCAGAAGGGAATATGTCTATTAGGGTTTTTTTCCATGGCTTTCTCTATTATCTTTCTCTCATTTAGCAATGATCCGTATACAAGTAAGAGTATGGACAATGCAAGTTAAAGGAAGGAATTAACTGTCATTAAGCAATGTCCTTTTGCTTTCAGACTAGCTGGGATTGTTCTTCATCTTTCTCAGAAATCCCTGTGTATAGACAGTGAGCAGGGCTGGCTGCTTGGTTTGAATTTCTCTTTGTTTACAGTGATAAAAAAGACCTCAGCCTGTAAGCAAAGCACTGAGCAAGGATGTGTCCTGAAGGACAGGAACAGCTGGGGCTTCTGGAAGCTCTGCTGGGTTGTGTGGTCTCCAGGCCAATTTTGCTTACAGTATGCGAATTATCTGCATATCCAATTTTATAAATTATTCCAAAGAGGAATTAGTATAATGTTACTCTAAACTTCCCTCCTACCCTCTCCAAGCTGAAGCAAATCTGAAGGTTTTCAGAGCTTTCTTGTCACCCTTCTTCTGTTTCTCCTTTTCTCCTTTCTTTCTTTCTACTGACTGCCCAGACTTCGTGAAAGCAAGCAAGAAAAGACTTATCAAGCTACTTATTATTCTGCCTAAAACTTTTGCATCAAAGAAAGTTGGAATAGTTTCTGAACTGGAGTTTTTGAAGAGAACATGAAAAGTCCAAAACTTGATACTGTCACATTCCTACTACTTCATGGTACATATATATGTTTCTGCGTAGCATCCAGAGCATTACATTTGACTGTTGCTATTTACTGAGAACTGACAGCACACTTCATGCTGTTCAAGAGGCAAATGAAAATTCAGACCTCCTACCAGGAGCCTGTTCCTTATTTCTGAAAAACTAACTATGCCTTAATTTTAGTCTGGGAGTTCAGAATTGCCTTCTTAATTTGCATTATTCCTCTTCTGCAGATGTGGAAAATTACCTTTTTTACTATATCTCTCACGACTCTCTTCATTACCATCTGCTAAGGTTCCAAAATCTGTTATGAGCTTGCTGCTATTTTCAAACTCCTTTTTTTTTTTTCTTTTGGGAAGAAAACCAAAACCAAAGACCAAGTTTCCCCCCTCAAAACCCAAAGAAACAACCCCAAAAAAACAACCCAAACAAAAAAACCAGTCCATCTGTATAGCTGCTGAACAACTTACCAGCAGTAAGAAAGAACTCCTTTCAGAGACCCAAGCCAATACTTCTGCTTAGGTCAGCCAAGTGAATTGTCTTTTCTTGGGTACATCCTATACCCATCTCTTCTTTCCAAGGGAAAACAGTTTTCACTAGGCAAGGCTGACACTCAGCCAGCCGGAAAAACCTGTGCTGTTTGAAAAACTAAAGCTGTCTTTAATAAAAATCTTCTGTCTAATATAACCATTCTTTCTCTATTAGCCATCTGGGTAGTATTAAAGGGTTCAGACAACAGTATTTAATTGTACTAAGAAAACAGTAATTTTCTAAAAAGTGCATTATTTTTAAATTGTATCTGTTCTTTGATACTTTTTCTAACAGCCGTGCACAGCATAAAGGTATCTGAACTGCTTGGATCCTCCCTGTTCATTTTTAAAGGAATTGAAACTGGTTAATAATAGTGACAGCACTGTTACAACAAAATCAATTTTAATCAAAATGTCAGTTCGTTGAGCTATGAATAAACAGATCTATGGGTAGTAAACACATTTAGCACAGTCTAACAGGAAAACATTAAAACTGGAGAGCCCTGGACTCCCTCCCTAACTCCATGTGGGCTGCTGTGTGCTGTTTTCATCATCTTTGAAATGGCCACAGCAGGATTCACTCCCACAAGTTTGGATGTGATGTCTGAAACTATAAGGCAGAATAAGAGTGAAAGATTTTGAGGAGAGGCTCTATACCATGAAGGCCTGAAGGAACAGATATTTTACACCATCTCTTTGAAAGCCTCAACACACACCCACACACGGATTTTCATGAATAACTCTGATGATGCACTTGCCAGCTATTCTGCAGATACAAGCAAGCCAGTAAATGAGTTGCCTACTCACTTGCAGTGGTTGAGCAGGACTGAAGCTGCTGGCAGTGCCTGCATCAAAGCTGAAATATGATGAAAGGATTTGTGTCACATGTCCTGAACAGGGGTAGCCTGCATCACGCTCATTTGCTGTCCAGCAAACGCTATTTCCTGACACCGTGACATGCTTGCAGGGGCAGGTCTCCCTCTTTGCTGTGCCGAGCAGCAAGTCCAGCCAAGTCTGCCGCTCTTGTGTTTAATCTGTAACAGTGTGACCAACTGTCAAATCTCAGGAGATTCTATGGAGCTAGCATTGTATTTAAAAATAGAGCTGATAAGAGTGTGGGTGAGGGAAGAGCACATTCAGAAATCTGGCTTTTTGTTCTTCATGAGAACTCTCTCTCTCGCTCTCTCTCTCTGACAGATTTTGCAAAGAGCTCACCATATGGGGGATGAGGGCTTGGGAAAACCTTACCCTGAATTCCTTCAATACTGTCCTCTGCTGGGGTGGTAAACTGTATGATTTAAGTTGCACAGCTAAGTGGATTATATGTTCTGTGGCCCTAATGTGCTTATTCATCCTTCATACAATCATTGGAGTCATTACCAAGGTCCAGTCAGTCAAATTGGCAGCACAAAGGGTGATGGCTTTAAACGGACAGAGGGCAGGTTTAGATTCGATATTAGGAAGTGGTGGATGCTCCATCCCTGGCAGTGTTTGAGGCCAGGTTGGACAGGGCTTTGAGCAACCCAGTCTAGTACAAGGTGGCAGGAGGGTTGGGACTAGGTGATCTTTAAGGTCCCTTCCAATCCAAACCATTCTGTGATTCTGTGGTTCTACGAAATTCCTTTTCAAGTCTTTACAAGTAGGTATGCAAACCCTGCATATGTATCAAGCAGAGCTTCCCCACAGACCAGTGGGGAAATATAGGCTGGATATTAGGGAAAGTTTTTCACAGAAAGAGTGATAAAGTTTTGGAATGGTCTGCCTGTGGATGTTGCGGAGTCACCATGCCTGAATGTGTTTAAAAAGAGACTGGATGTGGCACTTGGTGCCATGGTTTAGTTGAGGTATTAGGGAATGGGTTGGACTTGATGATCTTGAAAGTCTCTTCCAATCTCGCCATTCTGTGAATTCTGTGAATTCTGTGAATTCAGTGCCACAAGGACCTTGAACCCTTGCCCTCTTCAACACGGAACCAGTAACTCTTCTATCCGCCCCTTTTTCTCTGGTAAATCCAACCACAGGACTTGTAAGTCCATATTGTGCTGCTCTGCATGGAATCACCACCAGGCAGGGAGGACCTGCAGTACACAGCCTGAGGCCTGTGTTATGGAAATGTTTGATGTGGCTGAGTTTCAGGGGCTGTAAAACCCTATATTGCAGTCACTACTTGGAGAGCAAAAAAGATTTCTGTGAGAAATCCTTGCAGCTGGAGATATGGTTGATCAGGACTCTACGAAAACCATCCATTTCAGTGACTGTTCACTTGTATTTTAAATAAATGAGTCTTTAGCGGAGAGTCTTTTACCATATGGTCTAGTCTGAGTACCTATATATACTTCATGTAAAATTATATTTGAAAGTCATATGAAAAATTATGCTAAAAAAACCCAGGGAAAATAAGGGACTTGTTAGATAAGGAAACACAATTCACAACACCTCAAATTAAATATCTGGATCTGCTTATCCAACTTGGCTCACTTGCCAGCTCCATGGAAGTTACTGTATTTACTAACTTATCTTCTCTTTTTAAAGAGGGAACTAATCTTGCAACATTTTCTTTTCCTCTCTGCTCATACAAATTTGAACTCCCAACAAGTTCTGTTTCATTCATGATGGTGAGCTCCAAGACAGTTTCAATATATTTTTGTTCTTTGTATTTTTTACATTGGGAGCATATACCTGATGGAAACAAAATACTGATAATTCATCTGTACTTCAGAAGTTCTTTGTGCTTGAGAACTGATGCAAATATTTTTCAAGGTGAAGTGTTATTCTGAACATTCAATGTGCCTCATTATGGCATTTTTTTCTGGTGATTTTTCAATGCTTTTGTGGAGGCAGTTTCAGCAATTAAAGCACGACACAGCAAATACTAAATATAGATTTGAGTGGAATGGCTGGTACTTTTTGTTTTACACAGCTCAGTTTCCTTATCTCTGTGCAAAGGAGACTGGTTTACTTAAATTGGAATGTATAAGCTCAAAGATATATAGCATTGAGTACATACAGTTATGTTGTAGAGCCTTTAGAGTTTGTAACGTACTTCTAGGGCTTAGATATTTCAGTTTACTCTAGAGGTCTGTTAGAGTCAGCTTTCAGAGGTTATGTGTTCCTGCCTACCAGTAACATCTGACAGCAGTAACATAAATGCAGCAAATGTGTTTTGGAAATACTGACTCAATTTATCATTTTTAAAATTAGCTCCTGATTTCCTGATTTCTATCTTAACATGATGCAACATGCATGGGTTTTGGTTTTTTTCTTTCTTTCTTTCTTTTTTTTTTTTTTTTTTTTAAATCCAAATTTTGAGAGTTTATCTTTGCTGCAAACATCTTGGTGAAAGACAAGGAGGATTTTCATGTATTTCAAGATACTTCATTATAGCTGCCTTCTTCTTATTTCTTTCTTATTTTTCCTGTTCTATCTGTTAAATGCAGTGGTTGTGCTAAGTAAAGATCTTGTCATGGTGAGTGCTGGGGCTGTGTTCCAGCAGGGCCAACACCATGAAAGGCTCAGTTAACATACTGTCAGTGGTGCCATTGAGCAAGGACTTCCAAGAATGAACTGACTTCATGGAGAATTTGCTGGGGCAATGTGCAGATGGGAGTTGTGTGTATGACTGCCTCTTGCACTTCCTTAATGAATTTTTGTTGCTCTCCATTTTGGCTTCCTGACTGCTTACCATCTCTTATTTCAGTTTTTTTGTTTTGTGTGTGTATGTTTTTTTTTTTGTTGTTGTTGTTGTTTTTTTTTTTTTTTTTTTTTTTTGTTTTTTTTTGGTTTTTTTTTTTTTTTTTTTTTTTTGTTTTGGTTTTTTTTTGTTATTTTCATATTGGAAGCTTGTGCATAACATTGTTTCTTGGGTTTTTTTGGGTTTTTTTTTGGTTTTTTTTTTGTTATTTTCACATTGGAAGCTTGTGCATAACATTGTTTTGGAAGGATGCAGCCAGATCCAGATTTTTAGTTAAGCTATTTATCTTTTCCTATTAATGCATTTTGTTTGGGTCTTCCAAGCTTCTTACCTTGTGAACAGATGGCACTTTTCACTCAGAAGCCCTGGAGACATTCTCATGTTTTGTGTTGATCTTCTGATGCTTGGCTCAGAAGATAGCAAGACCAAGAACTAAATGGTCAAAGTATAGATATTTGTATCATACTGTCCTGCACTAACCAGAAAATTGCAACTGTGATTCTTCAGTTTCATTTTAATTGATTTAACTGGATATTCTTACTCACAATATTAGAATGGTACAGCAATGCACTGCATGATGTGCAATTCTTAAACCATGGGATTCCTAAATGAGTGGGACTGTCCCCAAGAATCCAAGCAGCAATACTTAAACTTCTATGCTTCTTTTACTCATATATATTGAAAGTTTCATGCTCACTTCGGAGCTTGATTTCTTGTTGTTTTCTAAGTGACCAAAGATCAGGTTACATGTTTACTCCTCCCAGATCAATTTGGTCACTCAAGTAATGTGTTAAAAGTAGAATGATCTTACAGCCAAGCCAGAGCCGCAAAGTTACTTTTAATAAGCACTCTTGTCTGTGTTAATTTTAAGTCAAAAGCAAAACAGGCTGAGGACACTGTGGTGGATTCATACATGTCATATACTAATCCTGAGGTGCCATAAACCAAATCTGATAGGCACTGTTGGTCAGTACAAACCAGTACAGCACAATTTGTGCATTTCACTAGTTTTCTACCTTCTTGGGTAAAAAGGGTTTATCTAAAAATGTGTTTTCTATGTGTTTATTAGTTTACTGCGGGAAAGATACAAGGCACAAGACATAAGCAAATTATGCTTTACAGAGGTAGGCATATCAAAACCAGAGTGTTTTCTAAGGCTGCCTGTCCTGCACATCAGGCAGTTCCCAGCAGAGCCATGGCTGACGGCTGCTGGTCCTTGAGCATTGTACAGGAAACAGCCTGGTTCTGAGACATCTGTGACATCTTCTGAGACATCTGAGACATCTGGTTGGGTGATGGGTGGGTATAGAAGTGCCCAATTAAACTGGATTTTATTCCACCAGCATA